CTTTGAAGCCGAAGCTCGTCTTCATTATATTTACGAATCCAGACCGTACCGCGAAGAAAACACTTCACTTAACCATTATAAGTCGAATCAGGCGGTACCACATAAGATTTAACAAAAGAACATCCCGGTCAAAGCCTTAATATCTGGGTACAAGCGCCTTCCTTCGCATTGCCCCCTTAAACTCTAACTGACGGCCTCCCCACATAGTGAGGGGTAGATGGAGGCTTCACGCCCTAGAAATTAATCAAAACTCGTACTTCAGCCTTAAGTCCATTTTCAATTAGCATAATAATTTCTATACATTTTAAAGAACAAAAAACTTGTTTGCGAGTAGAAAGGTGCAAAATCTTTCGGCCAACATCCCTGGCAAATTAACGTAAAGTTGACGATGTGTAATCGAGTCTGGGCTTCGTGTTCCTCCTTCCGAAAGAAGTAACATCATTAATAATGCTACGAAATGAGCTAGAGTCATTTAACCTTTTAATTCAACTCAGTCATTTGTTACGCTGCTAGTTGCAAACTGGCTGCTACATCAGTCACTCTGTCGTCGTTCGTGACACACTCAGCAGGACACGCGAAGGTACATAACAACGTTTCGGGGCTGAAAATGGGGACAATGTATTTTGTCCAAGAACCTTGTCGAGTTCACACGACATAACGCACATCCTCGTGTGTTAAAAATTTCTCGTAATTTTAAACGCGAGGCTTGGGTCCGGTAGGGCAGGGACCTTTTCTTTGTCACTTCGCCCCCAGAAGAAAAATCTGACCCAGTACCGAAGTTACGAACTCGCGGGCGTTTTACGCAGACAGTGAAAAGTACAACCGATCAACTACATAGAGTAATTTACGATGTTCATTTCTGAAGTGGGTGGGTCAGACAGAGTCATATAACGACGCACTGGACTTGCAAGAGGTCACTCGATAAAAACAGGACTCCAAAAGAGAGATAACTTGTGACTCAGAGCCAGTAATCAGAAGTCAGGGGGTCGCCTTACACTTACATACCAAGTAAAGTAACTTCTGATTTCAGTCAGTGTTTTTACACATCGGCTATTATTGATTAATGGAGGTGATTGATTTATTGATAAGATTAAACGTGATTCAACGATTTTGATTAGATGTGGAATGTTCTTTATTTCTCAATGAAGATGCAATTATGAATTTCTCATAAATTTTCTTCTAATTATAATCGTAATTCGGGGTTGAAAGAAACCGGAATGAACTGGGTTCTGTGGTCGTCGTTAAAGACACTTCAAATTTATCACCACCAATCGGCGTCTCTAAAATGTTCATCCCACCAGTCTTCAAAGAGAGCTGTAGGTTTCTGAAGACATTTGCATATAAATATACACTAAGACAAGGGCGAGAGGTTTAATTTTAACTTGTGTGGGGGGAGGAACATTTGCTGTTGATGGGAACGAATTATAAACCAATGTTCGAGGTGGTAAATGGCGAATAGCAGATGCTTAACCCTTAGAGACACGAAAGACAAACGATTTAAAAATGACGAGAACTGATGTAAAGGTTTATTACGAAAACACTACACGTTTTACGCGGGCATTAGCTCGCGATAGGGAATTGTCCATCTGCACGTTCAATCTCCGAAACTGCCAAACGGGCTTAAGTTACTTGTTATATTCGGAATTCGCTGAAAGCTGTCTTAAACGATTTAATATCGAATCGTTTCTTTAGATATAAGCCACGAACCTCGCCCATTTTCTCAGAAAAGGTTTATCGCACAAAACCACTGCTATTTTTAGATACACGCCAAGGAAATATACAAAGTACAGAATTCGGTTTATGAAATGCTGAGAACGTTTTCCTGTGTCTCAGTAATGATACACTGTTAAAATCGGTGTTCTGATTTATACTTCCTCTGTACGCATTCGGAGAGAAGACTGCGTACGAGAACAAACAGAGCCGTTGCTGATTGGAAGGACAAATCAGAAAGTGTGCATAATACTAAAATTACGCCGTGCAATTGAATCCATTCTGGGTAATCATAATTAAAGCAGGTATAAGCAAGTTCTGATTATTCCCGATGGGGGGCTTAAAAATAAAATTACACATCCTAAATACATTTCTTGCATGGGATGCATTAAACCAGAAGGCAAGACGCCACTTGGAAGAACTAGATGTAGATGGGAGGATATAATAATCAATCTTAAATGAACAGGGCAGGGGAGTGTGAAATGGCTCAGGATATGGGCCACTGTAGGATTCTTATGATCGTGGCTTGCTGGGGGACTATGGCTTCAGGGAGGATTCTGGTCCAGTTACCGCAGCTAAGAAAATTTCGTATTTGTTCAATTTAAAAAAAAATCTATATATTGAATATTCTTTCGTGATTAAGGCTGACTTGCTGATAAAACTACATTAATAGACTTTAAATTGTGATATAATAACGTAAAGAAAACTAATTATAGACGGATCTAGAAGTCCAAATTGCAGTAATGTGTCTCGGAAGTACGAGGTTCGAACCGCGAATGCTTGAAATAAGCCACAGATCCCGTATAATTTAATCTTGCGTTTTATAACGTCTGCAGTTGATACGGGATCTAATCAGTCTCATCTAACCTTAACTAAATAAAGTATTATGTCTGAACTTTTGAAAGAATTTTGGGAAATTGATACAAATTCCTTCTACTTTACATGACAGACGGAACTTCCGCGTGTTGTCCAAGTCTTTTCCTCGTGGAACAAAGTTAACTGTGCTGGCCGGCTCACGACAGAAGTTACACACATCACGTGGTACGTGACGCCTGCTTAAAATATCGCTGATTTTTCCTAGAACCAGTCAAAAACAATTATCAACTCTCTCTGAGATTTCCTGACGAATCGACTGTTGCAACTTATACAAATCTTCCTTTCAACCAAAGATAAAAATATTGAATCATCGCCATCAGAACGACGCGGTGTAGCGGTAAGCTTCGTACTCGGGAGGTCTCGTGTTTGAAACACGACCCAAGACCGACTATCCTCCCAGGGTCCCCTACTCCCTCGCCCAAAACAACACATTCCACACGTCATCCGAAGGTGACATAGAAAGTTGGCAAAGTATTTTATTAAGTATTTAATTAATTCCAAATTAAATAAACATTCGCCATCTTAAGGCCTGGTCACTCGTCAATCAGAAAATATTTTCCTTCCCGCCTTTATGAAATCCCGAACGTTCATCACTTTGTGCACGAAAGACCTGTGTTGACCCTGACCTCACCAGCTGAATCAGGTCCACCTCATCTCTTTAACAGCTCCAGCCTGCCACGTGAACACTTCGTTATCCAACGAAAATGTTGTGTGCATTTCTCATTTCTCATTTGAAATACAGACAGTTATGATCTTCCAAGAAGAACTGCCAAGACTAGTTTGGGCCAGAGTAATCGTGTTTTGTAGCCAGTGCCCTACCCTCGCCCAATCTCATCCAAGTGCACATATCACCAATTAAACAGAGATGATATGGGATTCAACAACTATTTGTCTCTGTAATGTTTGATTAAGGGCTGAGGCATTCCCAGGGTTGCCGCTGAACTTCCAAATGATCAACACACACACAGCGCGACAGCTCCTTTATACCTGAAGCATATGCATGTCGGCATGCCAGATTTAAACAATTTGGCAGGTTTTCGAGCGGCTCTTTATAACCAAGGTCACCCACTTTTCCATCACTAGACTTGCAGAGTGCTTTTTTTTTATCTTAGCTTAAGACAGCCTTCGGACCTTGAAACAGAAACCACTTTTTGCAAGCTGGTCTTTCCTCCTCTTTGCCACTCCTCATGACATGATCATCATTCACGTTACTCTGTGAAACAGTTCGCTACTTCTGCTGTGCTACCCCATGTACATTTCCTTTCGCCAAAAGACCAGCAGGCATCCTCCGACACTACGACGTCGTAGCAGATACATGAAATACATTATACAAATTCATGTATTACATTAAAACTTCAACAACACAAGCAGCTGTACAATGTGCAATATTTCTTGTCCATGGCTGAGGTACAATTCATAACTTCAGCTTCCACGGACGAGCAGTGTCAAATGATTTTCAGTATTACTGCAGTCGTCAAGGATGAGAGCTTGGATCGTGGACAGTGGAATTTTACGGGCCATTTGTGTCCTGATACGGTGGGTGACCTCGACACGCATCATCCCAAAAACCAAAGTTGTACAATGATACATATTTACCCACACTTTTACATTTACATCTTTCCGGGTGATTCTTCTTCATAACGATGACCACGCGCAGTGTTAACGTGCTTTTCTTTTCATTTCTTACCTTGCCCAGGGGAATACTGATCATTTAAAACATATGACTGTGATGTGACATTTTGAAGTTCATAACACAGCCTCCAGATGCCAGGAATTTTAAACACAAACATAAATGCCCTGAGTTTCGTCTTAATCTCAAGGGCAGATTACGTACTGAGAAATTCTTCTCTGGGAAATTTCTAAATAATGGTCTGAAAATTTCATTGCTGCTTTGAGTGGTTTTTAGGTTTGAGAAGGCATCATTAGTGGTTTTGTTGTCTCTTACAATAAATTATAAATAATAAAAGTAAAGTTATGAAATAAAACTGTCTGCTGTGTGGCTGCTCAGTGAGTTAATAAATTAGCCATGATAACAGAAAGAAAACATTCCAGCTTGGCACTGGCAACTCTTCTCTTCAATGCACAGTCAAAATCCTGTGGTGGTGCCGTCCACATTAGATAAAGATGGCCGGAGGGTGAGGCTCACTTTCACAGAGTGACGGGAAAAGAGGTGTATGGAATTTTAACTCCAGTTCCCCTACAAGCTTTGATGAAGACAGCTTCAAGCACAACTCTTTTACAAGCAAAAAGAAACACATGACATTCTGAAGTGAAACTTAATACTGTGGAATGTCCATAAAATTCCATTGGAATCAGTGAATAGACACAAGTGACATGCTTTAACGTAATGTCTGAAAAAACTGTTATGAAAATTATCAACCAACAAAATGCAAAATGGAAAAATGTATACTAACCTGAGTGACAACATAGGATCCTTTCCAACTGAATAAAGGTTTGTGGAACATGGAGAACTGCAGTCGTAGCTTGCCCATGTCGTCTGCGACTCGGAAACTATCAGCAAGGGTGGTAACCCAATTCACTACATCTTCGTTGGCATATGTGATGAGGCCTTGTCCAAACTGATGTTTTCCATCTAACACAAAATTGAGGATTCCCCTAACAGAGTTTTCAGTCAGGAGTGTCTCCTCATCTAGATGCACAATCCAATCTGTGTCGGCAAGAATATTCACGCCATCCTCCAAACAATATTGAAGTGCTCGGGCCTTAAAAAGAGCCCCACTCTTTGGTCGATATGAAGGAGGAACCACCACCTCTCTCACTCGCCTATGTGATGACAAACCGACAGCTTTATCTGTCACAACCTCAATTATAAAGTTTTCAAGACCAGCCTCAGTACAACAGGTCATGTTACGAGCAACATTCGCACGAACCAACTTTGGATAATCTCCCCTTGTCACTATTCTGATGCATAGGAAGGGAGCTAACAGTGGCGAACCTTTAAGTGTCACTTTATCTGGGAAAGCATTATAAAGCGTGAGTCCTGCAAAGTTGAATATCACCTGTGGCAGTGGAAGGAAAGTGAGGAGACGTAACAAGTACAACACGAAGGTTCCAACATATCCATATCTATCCCATGGATCAAATTCTTCGGGTTTACTGTTTCCTAATCGAACACCACCGGTGAAAACTTCAAATACAGCAATTACTGTGAAAAGTAGAATGCAGTGGAGAATGTGCTTCGTCCTTCCCGTCAGCATGGTCACTAAAATACAACAAAAAATATTCAAAGTCCCTTGATATCCTTTCATTTCAAAACAAGTGCAAAAACCCAATATATAGCTTTTCATATACGATGTTGAAGTCAAATTACGAGTGAAATATTATCGATCTCCCAGCTTAATAACTTAAATCACGTATCTGGAAGACCAGAAACAAGGCCCCTACTCTAAACACAACACCCACACAAGATGCTACATAAGAATAAATGAAATCAGTCTATTTCTCCTTATAAAACTTAAATTCTAACGAATCAAACGTGCACACACCTTCGCCTACCATACAAACAAGGCATAAACAAATCACGTAACAATCACCAACTACCCAGCCGACCACCCTAACAAACCGGCAATTCCTTCCCTGCTTTTCAACTTCGATTTTTCGAACTCATATATTTTCATTTGTACATACTTCTATAAAACTCACCTAAGTGTGAGTCACAACAACGACAACAGTAACACACACTATAGTACTGAAGTGCATATCAATGACCAATCATGTTTATATACCTGCAAAGTACTGATGGGTTTCAAAGTATACGGTAAACTGGTCAGGAATGTACAAAGAAAGTAGAAGCAGAGTACATAGGTCTTTCAAGTGACTGCGTCAAGACCTTAACCCAGGAGTCTTCGATTATAATTCAAATAATTCCGCAAAGATGGCGCAACAAGGCAAAACAAAATGGACAAATGTTCGACGTTGAAAGGGCTTTAAATTGTTTCCACAACAGAAATGAAAGAAACAGGCCCACAAATATGAAGCCTGAGTGCTAATAATCACTCGATAACCGTGACTTTCTACCCCACAAATAATAACACTGTGTGCATTAATTAATTTCCATTAAATTCTGCAAGAAGTTGATGCTATTTTGAATTTCATTCTCTTGATACTTTTTAAGCTCTATCATCTGTAACAGCCTATTATTGTAAGAAAATTCAAGCAGGAAATTGGAGCTACGATGAGGACGTTTAATGTGAATGTCTGGCTTAAGTCCGCTTTGTGTTGTATAACCCCTGTTGCACTTGAGGTATCTTGAAGGAAGGCTTTGGATAAATGTAGGTTATATAAAGCAGAGGGGGATGAGATGCACTGAGGAAAAAGGCATCTGTAAGCACAAATATTTCAAAAAAGGTTAATCAATGTTTTTTCCATGATCATTACAATATTATCCAACCACATGTACTTCACCAACTACAATATTCTGTACCAAATTTTACATAATACATCTGGAAACACTTTTTTATGACCATTCTTCAGCAAGAGCCATAAAATCACAAAACATCAGATTTAATATAAAAAAATTCACTATTACATGAAAAGTGAAAGAGAGGAACATATTATGAATATACCAGATTTAATCATCTCACAATAACTTGTCCTTTTTTGTGTGTTAACATTTTTATTTCCTTTGGTGGCCAAACTCGACAAAGAGCTCGAGCACAAATAAGCCCTTGTGGAACAGGACCATATATTCTAGAGTCTGCTGAATTACTGCGATTGTCCCCTTCAAGCCAAACATGACCACGAGGAACCTGAAGTATTAGACAAAAGTGAACTTTTACATACCCACATCTTGACATGCTAATCAATACTGAATTAATAAGTAAATGGGAAACAAGTTTTAATTCTTTCTTTAATTCTGTATCTAGAAATAAAATATCCTCTCCTGATAAAGGGAATGATGGTTTTCATTGTGTCATATATTTTGTCTCTGCAGAAAATATTAAATGGCAGTTTCAAACAAATTGTGTGGCCAGTCTTGATATCATGCTCGCTAATCTAATACCTATTGTACAAAATATATGTCTCAGCATGCAAAGACATATTCCAGCCTAATGCCAATGGATTTGCTTCTGTCCCACATGGACTGCCATGCATTTAATTAGGCATAATTTTAATTGCCTAAGAAACAAACAGAAACATTAGCACGTCTTATATCAAAGTATAATCTCTTATACGTACCACTTTGGATGAAAATCCCACTAATACTTTGTCACCTGGCATCCCTGTAACTCTTTTACAAACATGTATCTGAGGATTTGATGGAGATTTGGCAATTATTATGTCACCTTTCTTGATGCGTTGAAACCTTGGAGTTATGTGCTCAGTCAGAAGTATATCATTTGAATAAATAGTTGGTTCCATTGAGGGCCCTGTACACTGCAAAATACGCCAACAAATTATACACAGGTTTCTAATTACCATTATAATGTGTTACACACTCACAAAATATGTTGCAACCATTGTGTACTGGATCCTGATAACATAAATCACCAAGTATATGGCCCAATATTTGGTAAATGGTCTTCTACATTTGAAAGGACATCTCTCTAATGCAGCCTTTCCTATATTGTGGTCTTGTATAGAACAAATTTAGGCTGACAGCCCAGTCTTACTATAGGATAAAATGTCAAAAATAATTGCATCTTACACAAAATTTCGAAACTAAATGACACATAATGAATGCAATATTCAGCTGTGGTTTGCATCATCAACAAAGTTCTTCACAACCAAATATTTCCAAAGTAATTAGAATGGGCAATGGTAAAAAGGCAGGATGTGAAGAATTATATCTTAGATCTAAACGTTAATTACGCTGCTATATCGAACTGCACTCAAGGAAAAACCTACAACCCTACATTGTAGAATTTTACACATTCTAAGTTCATAATATAATAGGGATCAAAAACACACATGTACACAAAGGATAAATAAATTTTATCAAAACTGCTAATCCTCAACCCAGCTGCTTTAGATTCTAAGACGTTCTAGTAGAGAGACAGCTGCCTAATTAAAATATATTAATAATATAAAATGTATTTACTATAACAAAATCTCCAACATATTCTAAAACACAGTGCGTTATACAACCATACTGGACCATATAGGCCAGTACTCCTGCTAATTTTGTTGCATAATTGCTTATGTTTGGTATATAACTCATTTATTTCCTTCTTTCACTAAAACTCCCAGATTAATTTTACATTCAATTTTGAACGCTTTATCGCTCTTCATTTATGGACTCCTTACAGCACCGCCACCATACAACATTGCAGTTGTACCAATCATAGAATAAAACATAAATTTCAGCTTTATGACTGTGTTTATGTAAATTTATTGGGGGATAACGTAAATACCTAAAAAATCACAGAAGCTCTAGAGTAGAGTAGAGTAGAGTAATTGACGCTAGCACGTAGGTTGGTGTAGAAGTAAACACAGAGATAACTAAGTATATATTGAAGTCTCGTCACCAGAATGCAGGGCAAAATCGTAACGTAAGGGTTGCTAATGAATCCTGTGTAAAAGCGGCAAAGATAAGGTATTTGAGAGCGACAGTAACAAATGAAAAAACGATTAGTGAGGAAATTAAAAGCAGATTAATTTCGGGTAATAGTTGCTACCATTTAGTTCAGAACCCTTTCCATTTGCTGTCTAAAAACATAAAGATTAAAATATAGGAAACTATTTTCCAGTAGTTTTGTATGAATGTGAAATTTGGTCTCTGACGCTAAGGGAAGAAACTGAGGGTGTTTGAGAACAGGGAGAATAGTTGGACCACGATGAATAAAATACTAGGAGGTTGAAGAAATTTGCATTATGAGGAGCTACATAAGTTTTACTTCACACCAAATACGATTAGACTGCTCATGTTAAGGAGGATGCGATGGTCAGGGCATGTAGCCTGCATGGGAGAAAAGAGGAATACAAATAGGGTTTTGGTCGCGAAAAGGAAAGAGACAACAAGGAAGACCTAAACATAGGTGGGAGGATAATATTAAAATGGATCATAGAGGAATAGGGTGGAGTGGTATGGGCTGGATTCATCTGGCTCAGGATAGGGACCAGTGGCAGGTTCTTGTGAAGATGCTGATGAACCTTCAAGTTCAATAAAGTGTTGGGAACATCTTGAGTGACTGATGGCTTCTCATGAAGGACTCAGCACCATGAAGTAAGTAATATAATTGATTTACATTCCATAGATCCTTCATAGGTCCAAAAGCACAACCTGTCTGCCCTTCATACGCCCACATAAGCATTTTATAGTTGTTACCATTCTGTAGTATTATAAGACAGAATGTGCTGAAACATATTTCCTAATTTTTCTTGAGTGCTTTGAATTGTTGTATTTTCATATACATGGGGGAGCAACAGGGAAATTGATGTTGGCAACCCTCGATACTTTCCAAGCTGGACTGAGTGAGTCAGGTTCTCAAGGACTCTGGTCCGTGGAGTTTGTCACTCAGTTGAACACACCTGACACTGTACAAATTATGTCTTGTGTTAAGTCCATTATCAGAAGAAAACAGTATGCCTCTTAACGTAATTGGTCTGTCTAATATTATTCTCTTCCATCATTCTTTCTCACACATATAATGCCATTTTTATATTATGCATGACAAATTTTTGCAAATAAATTACAACTGCAGTAGTGACATTGCATAACAATTGCACAAAAATTACAAACATCACATTGAAATTATTCAATAGATAACTTTTTATTAGAGACACTTTACATGTACAGATTAAGCTGCAGTAACAATATTACAAAATTTCAATACTAAACATATTTTTAACATAGGCATATTGTATACTGAAAGAAACAGTGGTTTAATAATACCAAATTTCTTGGCTGTATTACATTTGTTATCTCTTTAGATCAGAAAATCTCCCTTGAAGTTCTGCACTATCTTCATAGCTGAAATTAGTGAAATACAATTGGTGTGTGTGCGCGCGCGCACATGTAGCCATTTGCCATATATTAATTTATTCTGCATTCATTTTGTTATACTTTAGATCACAGTTTACTTTGACATGTTTAAAGTAGTAAAGGATAATGAAATATAATACAAGAGGGAGTGTGACATGTTAGTAATATTAAAAAATGTATATTCTACGAGATATGCTAAAAATTACAAACCAGGAGAACTTAGTTTTTAAATTTAATTTCAGTTTTCCTTGAACTGAATGTTGTACATTTAAATATCTCATTAGTTTATGTCCTCTGTAGTAGCATTTTAGTTTATGTAAGATATATGCTAAGAGGATTCATAGATTTGTACACATACACTCACGTAAAATCGAAATTATTAATATATACACGAGAAATGGAACAGTAATTGCAATGCACAGTGACAGAAGAAATACCTCTCTCTATAAGCCCTTGCTCCCCCAAGTAGGTGCAGTACACAGTAGTAGTAGTACAATATTACACACATGCACGCAAACACACACACACACACCATATCATTTTTATCTTCCCTTTTAGTAATACCATATTACATATTTGTGATGTGAACAAGAAATTAAATAATATATGTGTCAGTGCCATGGATATAACTGTCCCAGACAATGTACATAGGGAATTTACATCAAGCACCTAGAAGTTTGGGGAGGTCCGAAACTTCTAGGTGCTTGATGTAAATTTCCTGACCTTTCAAATCACAGCATTTTAAAATTATAATCTGGTGCCATAATATATGGTGGCTCAAAATTCAAAACATGAAAGGCTCCTGATTTATGTATTTATTCATGAATATGTATGAGTAAAGGTGAAAGTTTTCCACTTTATAAATCAAGGGGTGCAATCAAAGAACTGAAATACCTCTCTGCAATTTTAAACCAACAGAACACCCTCCTATGCCCAGTCTTTGACAAGATTTGTGGCTTGCATATGGACCAGTGCAGTTCTTTTGTTATCCAATTGTAAGCCATTAATGAATAATATTGATCCAAACCTTTGCTTTCTTCAAAATAGCTGATTTTTTTTACACCTAACTGAAAATTATGGGGTGACAGCTGAAATATCAGGTGACAAAAAGATAATGAAATCAAGGAGGTTATGGTGGGTTGGACAAAAATGTATATAGAATCTCCGTGGTAACAACCTTTGGGAAATGGCAAATCGGAAGACCAAAAAGGAGATGGATGCTAATGTTAAGGTAGATGTTGTGAAAGTGGCACAGGATCTTGTCCAATGGTATACACTTTGGTATTACTGATGATGAACCTTCAATTTGTGCTGCCACAGCATTAGTCAGAACTTCAATATGCAAGCAGGTCCTTTTATATAGCACAGAAATATGAAATCATAGTCATTTGTATCAATACAATTAAAATAATCCACATTCAGTGAATGGCTGTGGGGTTAAACATGAAAGATTTTCTAACTATTGCATTTAGTTTTGTAAACTTTACTAAAAATGAGAAACTGAACTTCAAAATATCATATCAATATAATCTGCAACAAATTAACATTATCTGATACCTAATAATAGTACAATTATTACGTGATAGTAATGGAAGCGACATCTCCATTAACTGTAGCTATGTAAATAAATGTTGGAACATTAATTGATAAGTCACGTAAATTTACTTCTGGTAGATCATGTAAATAAATATTGGAACATTGATTGATAAAGTCACGTAAATTTACTTCTGGTAGATAATTTCAAGATGAGGTTCAGGAAGATATTCTTTTTGTTTTAAAACAAAACAAAGTATTTGTACATAGTGGCTTAATGGAGAACTTCAGTGTGTCACTTTACAACATGACATAAAAAACAAAAGAATAGAATATTTGGAAATAAGGTAACAATTTAAGCCAAAAGTCTGTAACAAACTAAAAGAACTATCAGCTGCAGACACACTGATTTAAGATCCATTGTCTTCATTCTCTTTACTCTTTGTAGTGAAGTTCAATTGTGTTTTGTTCTGGGGGTATTTTGACCTTTATTCCATTAAGGGATATATTCCACTTTCTATATATGTGAAATAAGAATAAGTGACTGACATAAGTGATTTTCTGTCATTGCTGCCAATCACCATTGGATGCATACTTAAATAATTTAAATTTATATACTAAGGTATTAGTTATAAAGAAAACCAGGTCACCCTGGTGAGTATAACAGAAGATATCACACACAGCTGTTCTTGATTCATGTATAAGTGAGGATACTTCAGATTCCAACATCTATTTTATAGTTTATATCTTAATTGCATCATGCTTGTGTTCCTCAATACAATACTTTTATTTTCCGTCGTTACACAAGCTTGTTGTTAAAAATCATATAAAATTTCACATAAAATTGTTACATTTTAAAATTGACTTTTTTTACTTTTATTTTCCGTCGTTACACAAGCTTGTTGTTAAAAATCATATAAAATTTCACATAAAATTGTTACATTTTAAAATTGACGACATGTTTCGATATACAATTCTATCATCGTCAGGTCTATCAAAATTAAAATTAAAATCTGGTGTATCTGTTGCTCTGCTTATATTGCTTATGTTTTATCCGTTTTTATTACATCTCCAGGCTTCTTTCATTTAATTTGGGAGACGCGGTGCGTGTCCGTTGTTATTGAATGGCAGACAGCAACTGAGTTGTAGGTATCGTGTGTAGCTATATATATTGGGTGAAAGTTGTTTAGGGGGTTTGGTCAATGGACTGTAGAATGTTAAATATCGGATTGTTCGTGTAAATGTTGCTGTCGTTTAGTGCAAGGTTTTGTTTATGTGTTCTTTGTATATGATATTTCTCTATGGTGTCTCTATGTGGTTTGTTTTGTATTATTTTTATAATGTCCATTGTATGTTCTATTTTGTTGTATGAATGTCCTGTGTTTAATATATGCTTTGCATATGCTGAATGGTCTTTATTATGTTTTATTGCTGTAATATGCTCTTTATATCTTTGATTAAAGGTGCGTCCAGTTTGGCCTATATAGGTTAACGGGCAATCATTGCAATTTTAAAATGTAACAATTTTATGTGAAATTTTATATGATTTTTAACAACAAGCTTGTGTAACGACGGAAAATAAAAGTATTGTATCTATTTTATACTTCATTTTATTCCTCTTAAGAAGACATTTCTGCTTTACGTGGGTTGTCATTTGTATTATTTGGAAATTTAACATTAGCAGTGTTCTTTCTTGTATCGAAACTTAGCAGTTAAAAGATGGCTATCTACTGGGTTGTAACATCTTGTAATTTGGTAGTAGTTTACAAATGTTTCAGAGGTTCTTGCCATCATCAGGGTGATCACCCTGACAATGGAAGCAGCAAAGACCTCTGAAATTATGGTAAACTTATACCAGACTACATGGTGCTCAAACCCAGAAGATAACCGCCACCTTCGTACTCATCACTATCAGAACCTCAAATACTACATTAGCAATTAATTTCTCTAATTTAAATGTGCATACCCTTTCAGCATTCACTTAATCAATTGCATTATATTATGCTGCCTTTCTATACAGACCTCGTCTGATTTTGTAATTTCATACTTTTACGATTTTGTGAACCAGAATAACCTAACGTATTAAGTGCGACAGATATTGGCCTGAAGTTATTATAGCATTCTATATAATATGATCTGAAAGTGAAATAAAAATTAACTATCATGAAACAACATGCAACTATTTATTGCGCAGAAGAAGCACAAACATTTATATAACATCTTTATATTAAAAGATCCATATAATTTATAGAATTACAAACAAAAAGGGCTTTAATAGCATGAAAGAAAGAGGGAAAATATCTGGGAACTTTAAGACAAAGATAAAAAGAACAAACTGAGTGACATAAGGATGTTCCTTGGACAATGTTGGTAGGTAACAGTATGCATATAACATTCTGTAAGCTTGCTCTGTCTCCATCTTCAGGTCAGAATGAATGAGAGGAAATACCTATTAAGCTGGGCTGATTTAACAAAGCTAGTCCTTGTCACTGGAACACCTACAGACAAAGAACAATGTCCAAAAAGCATCTTGATATCGGACAACGTTAACAAACCTATAGAATTACACAACAATCAAGTGATGGGGGGACATTATATAATACCATTTAACAAACTGAGGAACAGATTAACTTCCATTACTGTATAGTAACAACTCCCACACACTTTCCAACTAATCAGACTTCCAGAAACCCTTACATTTTATCTACAGATGCTGCCACTGTGTGGGTACTATACTGGTATTAGATTCCAAGGCTCTTGCAATTTCCTCATGAATGCCATGACCTAACCATAGCAGCTGCAGTTTCTTGTACCTTTCCAGACACAGTCGTAGTGGATTTCCCCGCCGCAAACCTTGATCTGTCTCACCATACTGATCAAGGTACGGAGGAGACATGAAGCAGCCTCTACTTGGACTGGCGAGGAGAAGAATCTCACATTCTCGCACCCGGAGAAATATTCCAACTCCAGCACCACATTCATGGGCATGGTAAGTACATGCTCCAACTAAAGTTCTATTCAGCTCTGTCTGGCAGCAATAGCTCTGAGAGCACAGCATCTGACCACATACCAGACACATAGTTGGGTTTCGTGAGTCTTCACGCTCGCTGTTTGGGCAGGTAAAGAGTGACACCGTGTTGATAAGTTCACTGTAGTCTGCAGGAAGAGATACTAACTGGTTTACTGGCAGAGGGACAGTAACTGGACTCAAGTTTGATGCCCCAGACACGTATCGGCGCACCTGAAATAGAAACAGAGGAGCATAGGACTTCTGTATTTATATCTGCTTTGTTTATGCATCATATTTATACACCCATATTTGACTGACATTCTTCATGTAAATTTTTATCGTGATATTTTGAAGCAAATCTTATGCCATAAAATGTAAATATACCTTTTCTCATATGTTTCTATGAGCTTTACTGAGATACAATTTATTTCAAAATAGTCACTTTGGTTTCAGTAACTTTAATATGAAAGGTGTTCTTACCTTCTCATGATGTGCCCATTTCATTGAAAGATCAAAAACAGCCGGTGAAGATACTAATTCATGGTATGATTTTGGGAGACCCAAATAGGCACAAAGATTTTCAAATGTGTCTCCTCCAACTTCCATAAGCACATATGGACCAGGAACGCCCACAAGAAAATGGTAAAACAAAGCACAACAACGGAGGAATGGAATACAAGCATTCTTAACCTGAAAATGAAGACGAAAATGTATAAATAACAAACAGCAACAATTCTTAAAAATTTTCAGTGTTTAAGAAATGAAACTGTAGCTATGGGGTCAGTTCATTCACAAAACTGTAGTCCCAACTAATAGTCTGAAACTACAATTTTTTACTCAAAATTTTGTTAGGGCTGTTATAGTACCAGATATAAACAAAATCTGGCCATGAACAGTGCAGCTGTTAGTTTTCAGCTAGGACCACTAGACGAAGCTTATACGTAATTTTGCCTTTGTTTCTAATTGTGCCAACTTCACGAACTATTGTCCATTGTACACTGAGCTCTTAAGCACACAAGTAGACATGGGATGCTGTGTGGAAGAGGCACACAGAATATCACAGTTGAATGGTTAGTCCTTCTGCTTTGTACCTGAAAACCCTGAGGCTCAAATCATGCCTGGAGACCACCTATTTATAATATTTTCCATGATTTTCCTCTGTCCTTCCATCACTTCATGTTCCAACTTACACACTAAAATTCAAGAACCAAATATTCTGAGCCTATGCACAAACAAAAGGTTTTCATTCTTACCTTTGTCCATACACTGCGGGCATCCAACTGGACTGCATTTTCATCACTAGGTACTGCTGCGACCTTCCGAACAGCATGCAGAAGCTCTAGAATATTACTTTTTGCTGCTGGGTCACCTTCACCTACTTCTTCCACATCCATTGGCTCTTCTTCTCTTTCATTGAAATCAACCGTCAATAAAATTTTCACAATATGTGACAGAAGCATGAGTTTCAGTATGTTTAACTCTTGCACATTTCCAGAAGGAACTGGTGTTGGTTGATCACTCAAGAAAAGACTTGGAAGAGAAAACGTTAGAGGGACAAGTACTCCAAAACAATCCCAGTCAAGAATACATGGACCATCAGATGGATTCTCAAGAATCAATGACAGTATATGAAGAGCATGGCTGCTCGTAACTTCTGGTCGTTTCCATACGGCATCGAATACGCCAACAATACGAACTAAACTTTCTAAGCAGTCCCGGTGACGACAAGACAGGTCTCCAAGCAACGGTTTCTCCATGTCTCGCAACAGACATTCCAGAGAATGGATAGAGTATGCACATGATTTCCATATCATTAATGGTACTCTTGAGTCGCCGATGTGAGGATGGACACCTAGACCTTTTGTGTATGTAGCCTGAGAATACAAGATGATCATCTCCTCAAGATTTTCTGAAAGCCATGGTTTATCTGCAAGATTTCTGTTAGATGGGAAAAGGGATGCAAAGTCTGCCCCTGAATCACCCAATTCAATGGACACTTGATCTATGGGACACGTATAAAGCATATGCTGAACAGGCTGAGAATCTACATCATCGGCAAAACCTTGGAAGTCAGACTGATTTTCTTCTGAGGTCGCGTTTAAAGTAACTTCCCGTCCCTGTAGAGCCTGGATTCGTGAACTTCGCCTTACCTCCAGCTTTCTAACACCACTGGGAAGTTTCTTCTTGTATTTCAGTGCTATCTTAAGTCCCTGTAACCAAGTCTCAAAAGTTACATTTTTCTGGGCATGTTGATTAGACTGTGGCTGAAAAGTTCCAAGAGGTGGAACTAGAGGCAATACAGTGTTGCTGAGACATTCACACAAGGGACAGAGATACTCATGCTTCTCTATGTCAAAGCTTATAGGCTGACGGAGACGATAAGGCCGTCTGTTTTCCTTAGCCAAAATACTGTCAAAATACTTCTGCCAGCAATGAGTATGCATAACATGACCACACGTGCCAGTATGTGGAGCAGGGCCCACTGAAGCAGGAAGAAACAGGGGATCTGGAAGATCATACCGACCGCTTTCTTCCATGTCCAGGTTTTCTGTTTTACGGTGCTGACAAAGGACCGTAGATTGCTGGACAAAAGCAGCTAACAACAATGCTGGCCCATCTGCAGATACAGTTTGATCTTCCTGACAAAGGATGCAAGTATACTGCTGTTCAATAATAGGTTTACTTGTTTGATTTGGTCCTAATGCCACTGGTGCTGTCTCCATATTCTCTGAAAGATCCATGGGTAAGCCTTTCAGGTCACTCATTTTTCCTACTTCAGACACAGTAGTTTCAAACAACTTGGCATTCTCTTTCATGAAGTTCTTTTGCATGGCTGTCATCTGGGCCATAATCTTTGCTCTCTTTTGAGCGGCCATCATAGCTCGCCATTCTTTCTCCTCCTTTGCTGTACCTTCACTTTGAGATGTTTCCTGCAGAAGTGTTGAGGGAACAGTAGTAGATGGACCTCCTTGCCTTCTTGGTGCTGCTATTTGTCGGTATTTAGCCAACGTCCACACCAGCAAATCTTTGTGTGCTTCAACTCTAGCACTTGAACATAATTCTTCTATAAGCAGCTCCAATCTCCACTTCTCAGCACGTTCAGTAAAAAGTAGAAACTGGCAATACTGTTTTTCTTCTTCCTGTAGAGCGTAGCCAATAAGATGCAGAACTTTGTGCAACTGAGTTTCTGAGAAACTTCTAGCTCGGAGATTGATGCTGCGTTCCAAGACAATCTGCATGATGTGCAGCATCACGTCACATTGGAGCAAATTCGCCATCATCATAAAAGCATCTGTCAATGGTGGTAGTGGTGGTGGAGGGCAACATTCTGGTTCACCTGCAGCTTTACGTCTCTTACGCTGTGTCTCTTCAGATTTTGAAAATTCCTCCCTTGTGTAGTGGTAAAAGAAAACATTGTAGTTAGAATAGAGTTCAGTCTTCAGTTCATAGATGCCCTTTCCTGATCCTTGTCCTGGTTTCTTGAATTCAGCAACTTGATCTATAACTCTTTCCATACCAGTTTCATAGTTTACATCATCAGGCAATGTTTTGTTCAGCTCAGAGTGAGACAGGGGCTTGATGCAAAGTTGCTGGGTAAGTTCCTTCTTAATTCGGTCATCAGAAGTGATCTTCCCGACGCCTGGGGTATATCTCTCACCCACCAAAATGACGAGCAATCCTAAGAATTCTTCAACTAAACTAATTGTCTGTCTCATGCTGTCTTCTTCTGGATTCTTCAAGGTGTTCAGTTCAAACTGAGGATTAGCCCAATTGATCAAATTAAACTTGTTGAGAAGATGAATGAGGAACTCATTACTCTCAATCAACGAAGCTCCAATCTGGAGGAGGACAATATCACGATCTAACATCTCAGAACGGCACTTTACATTATGGTAGAAATACAACTGATTCAGAAGCGAGTAACCATTACGCCGCCACATTCCAGCATGTACTTGTGAGATCATTACCTGGAAAAGCAAGAGTTAAACAAATTAAGTGGACATAAAAAATGAATACTGAAAGTAATTGTAGATACACCCTTTCACAATGACTACTTACTTGCGTTCGTAGCACTGGTTCAATCAGTTGCTCTGGTGTTGGTCTGGGTGTTACTTGAAGTTCATGGCTGTCAAAATGAAGCCCAAATTTTTCCAAGTGGATATGTAGACCTGCTAGAAATCGAGACAAAGGTAGATGGATGGACACTGGCTGTGTTGCAACATCATACTGGATGCATGTAGCACTGTGGTCAACCAGCTCTCGCACCTCACCAGCTTGATTAGGATCAAAGCTTGGATTGTCATAAAGCTTTTTTAAGGTCGCCCGATATGCCTTGATAAGTACAATCTTGTCAGTGCCACACCATTCTAAGGCAAGGGTGATTACAGGAGCCAATTTGATGTGAAGATTAAATGCAGTCTCCCACTCTGGTTCATACTCCATATGCTGGCCTACTTGTCTTGTCACCATATCCATTCCTTGCATGAACGTCAGAAGATTCAAAAGCAGCGATATTCCTTGTAGGAACCCTTTCCGAAGGGCATCAGTCCACATTACAGGTTTTGAGCTGAGTAAATACTTCAAATCATAAAGTATATAATGAGCACGTTTGAAGGTGCCAGTTGGAACATTTCGTTCAAATTCCAGTTTTCCAGCTTTGTTACATTTTCTTGTACATTCAGAAATAAATGTGTTAAGAAGAATGAACAGTACATCATCATTAGCGATCAAATAATGAGCTAATGTTGGGACAGTGAAGACTTGAACAGACATAGAAGCTACTGAGAATGAGTGATCATGATCATCTCTCATGAAATCCTTGAGAACAGAACCATAATTCTTTGTGAAGACCTTAGCAAATGCTTTCTTGCTCTCGTACTCCATCAACATGCCTGAGATGATAAGGCGATGCCAATGTGTTCGAGCAGATTTCCAAAGATGAGAGTCAAGCAGAAGAATTCCCTCCACAATGGAAGCATCAGGTGCCTTGTTTTGGAGAGCCACGTCACTGAATAGGACACGGAAACCCTCTGCATATCCAAGGATCTTTTGCAGCCAATCCAAAAGTTTCATTGCATAAAACTGATGGGCTATCACATGTGTATGCACCACCAGCACCTTTAATAAGAATAAAATTCAATTAGCCACAAACTACAATGAATGATTTTATGACGGACGTAGCTGCGAAGAGTAGCCGTAAACAAAAGTGTCTAACTCATTCCACTTCTTGATACAAGGGACAATACATCAAACCCTAACCAACTCATACATATTAGTTTGGTTTATTAAGAAACAAAGTTAACCTTCCTTGGTTGGCTCCAGACTAGAAGGATAAAGCTGACAAAGTATTACCTTCAACGGACGATTTCCATGACGAGCTGTGAAACGTTCTATATCTGTCTTGAGTTCAGTGCAGTGCTGGAAGGTAGAGCATTTGACAACAACTCTTCCTTCTCTGTCAGTGTTAGTTACAAAATCAATGGCATCCCTCTGTGAGCACTTAACAACACGTACCAATGTAGTAATCACCTATTTAAAAAAATTACACTGCTATAGAATACAATACACACAAACAAAAAAATATCACATTAAGGGAGTTTCTGATATAAATCAACACATTTAGAATAAAAAAAACAATATAATATAAAACTGATTTAGCACTCATGGGTAATAATCCATAAAAAGTAAAATAGTGATAAACACTAAAGTAATACAAATCACTATTTTCAATTACCTACAATGCATGATATCATATGAAGAACAAAAATATATAGAAGCCAAAATTGATAACTTTTTAAAAGTTACAGGCCTTGTAAATACAATTTTCAAGCCATCAAAAGTCCAGAAACACACTACAATAAAAATTTATAATACTTACCTCTGCATATATAGAAGTGAGAACCAGACAATGAAAATAAAATTAAAAACCAGAATTACAGACACTGAAACCCAATTTATGAGAAGAACAGTGAAATACACTTGGGTAGGCCATAAAATCAAATAAGACATTAAGAGAACTACAGTGAAAACATATGCATTGATCAAAATTTTGAAATATACAACCAACTGTATTCAACTCGGTGACAAAATGCAAAGAGTCAGAATTCCCAAAGTGTTAAAAATTACAAATCACATGCCAATATGATATTGCTCCCTGGTGGTGCTTGCTGATGTCTGCTCCATACACATCCCAAACTGCATTAGATTCTTTGTATAGTTTGTATGGACCTGGCATAGTTCCATTCAGTAAAAGCCATTAATTTACAATGCCTTTCTTACCTGTTCAAAAGTATGACTTTCATCATTGAATAGAACAGTGCAGTATGCATCAGGAGTATTAAACAGGCCAAAGAGATTCTCATCAGATTCCTTCACTTGCAGATCAGAAGGCAGGCCCGTAGTATACTCCAGAGTAAGCAACTGATATGCGTACTTCAGCACAGCCGTGAATGCAGCTCGGGCTCGCTCGGTGAGATCGTCCGGCAGATGATGTCCAGCTGGATCTGGTCTTATTTCTGATCCAGCTACGTGTATGTCACAGAATGGTTCTGACCGCCAAGCTTCTGTATCACCACAGTCACAGCAGCCACCCCCACTTGACGTTCCTGAATGTAAGGTATTAAATACACAAACATTAATGTTTTTAGTTATATTTCTTCCATAATGCTGGTCTAGTATCCCACAAGGTTGACTGGAAACAAAAATTATCTTTCAAGGTGTGTGTGTGTGTGCATGCATTATTTTCCTAATTTACAATTGAACATACTAGCACTTTCAAGGGCTCATAGAACTACTGTCTGCATTAACAGCAACATAAAATTTCATAAAATATAACAAATATTTACATAATTTAAAATATACACCTGAGCTGAAAACCTCATTCAAATTATAATGTTTAGACAAAGGAGAGAACAAAAACACCTTTAAATTATACCTTGAAGCTTCCTTACCCTAGGTGAGATGAAAAATGTGCACACATTTTTTGTTGTCAGAAAGCCTCAAGGAAAGAGACAACTTGGAAAACCTTGGCATGGGTGGGAGAGCATTTAAATATATTTTAAATAGTGTGTAAGGGCATATGTTGAATTCAGCTAGCTCTGGATAAGATCCAGTGGGAGGCTGTTGTGAACTTTGTAACCTTCAGGTCCTATAAAAGGTGGGAACCATGTGAGCAACTACTAGCTTCTCCATGGGAGTTACTTAGCATCCTTACCCATCTTGTACTTATGATGGCGATGTGCAGACTGCTTGAAACAGTCCACACAAAGGACACACGTAGGGTCCATACCACATTCACGGCAACTGTATGTTGGTTCTCCCATCTTGAACACTCGCCCACAGACTGATGGCGGACTATCCAACTGGCTCAATTTGGTCAGAACCTCTTGTGGATCACCATTACATATGAACTGTTCCAGAGTATCAAACAGAACCTCCTGAGCTTTGGCTTCATCATAACTCCAATCAAGGCTATTTCCATAAGGTTCAGGGCTATAAATTTTAGGAACCCAGATTCGCCAATGTTCCTTAAAGTGTGTGCCTGATAGAACTCCATTCTTGAGTTTATCATTCCATACATCAACACATGATCTTGATGAGTCAGGAAACACAAGTAGTACACGTTCCACTTCAAGATCAGAGAAGGTCAAGTCATTATCGATAGAATCCCCCATTACAGCAGAATAAGCATCTGAAATTAAATAAAACAAGTCTGAAAACTTGTTCACAATGAAACAATTTGTTTCTTTGTTTCTTTAACAATACTATGTCAAGTACATAGGTTATATAGAATCAAATGGCAGAAAGACTATGTATGAAGAATTCGGAAGGATGTGCAAGTAGTCAAAACATAGTGTAATGCACTACCCAGTATTTGCATGTGAAAAACCATGAACAAATCAAGCAGGAGAGCCAGACTTGCGTGCAGTATTTGAAACCAGGACCTCTCAAATCAGAAGCTGTGAATCAAAATACTTTTCTTTCACACTTCTTCTCAGATTTTCTAAATGTCCTTTTTGTTGCCATATACTACCTCTATGACCCAATGAAATGATATGAATTTAATATACTGAATGTGTCTAGTGGTGCAAAGAAGTTCAAACTTTACATCCTGATATACATTTTCAGTATAACAAAATATTAATAAGAAAGCAATACAAAGCAATCCCTATATATAATAGTATATCAACATAATTCAGCACTAAACACACCCAATCATTTTTCTGTATTCTACAGGTTTTTAAATTATATTTTTTTACTTGATTAAATTCAGTGAAAGTTTAGGAACTGCTGCACGTACATTTTTACAAGAACAAAAGACTATGTATGCATATCCACACAATGGACTTCCCTTGATTAACATATATTCAACACACTAACCTATAATGTGTTATATATCTTCTTGAAAACACATTAAGAACAATGAAACTTCTACACTTAACAGTGATTTCACTGTGTTTATTTGTAATTTATGCAAGTCCTTCAAAAATAGCAGTAATATTTTTAAATATTCACCTACTTTGTTAAAAATAACAGAAAACTTGCATCAGGGACATGGCAGAGACTAAATAAAAGTTATTTCCATACACAATTTAAAATGACCACTGCTGTAAATTCCCTGTCATGGCCAGTGTTCAGGATTAGTTTCCAACCAAGCTGGGCTACTTGCCAAAGTCTTTCTTATTTTAAGGGGCATTGCCTACAGAAGGTTACTGTCCATCTGTTAAAAAAGAATGCCAACAGCCAATAAACATGGTCAACAATTCAATTAGCATATTTTGGTACCTTCAGTAACATTATTAAATGGTTCACTATTCATCCATTTCTTATTCTTCAGCATTCAGGTTTTTTGCTTCATTAAGCACAGGATAAACTTACCTTTACCAAAGCCAGGAACAAGCTTAAGGGGCTTAATACATGATATAATGTTGCCAGTCTAACAATATATGAGTTATAAATTAAAACTGAGTATGTACATACAAAGTTCTTCTTATATTTCTTGTCACAACAGACTAACACACAAGGAATAGATTTAAATTAGTAATTATGAATTTGTTCTCTTACAGTCAAAATGCATTAAGACATTATATGTTCTGTAGACTATATTCAATTTGGATGACACTGTTATTTGTATAACTAGATTCACCTCCTCAGGTACAAAGTACACAGAAACTTTGTGTGAAGACTTGAAATTTGAGGTTCTTGTGGCAGTGAGGAAGTCTTTGGTTATAAGTGATGGTAATCACCTACAAGACCATGTAGCATCACAACCCAGAAGATCACAATCATCTTAGGCTTTTCACTCGTAATCAATGCAGTCACTGTTCAGTTATTCTAATGTGCATATTTGGTGAACATAAATTATGTGCCTTAAATGGTACTAAATTATCATTTTTGAACCAAGACCCTGGGACACACCTCTTTTCAACCTGATGACCTTGGTTCTATTGTCTTTTGCTAAAAAAAATTGTATGCTATAACAAAAGCACTTCCTTTGTTAATGTATTGACTTCTGTTGTAGGAACTTTTCCTTCAGACTAACATACACCCCAAAAGAGCTTTCTGCCAAGCACTACAAACTTAGTCTTCGTATGTCCTCACAAAAACCCTACAATAACCTTGTGTATATATACAGTATATAATGTTCCTGATATATGTAACCCTCCATTAATATAAAATACTCATGCCTCATTGCAATGGTTACTTCTCAAAAATAAAAGATCACCATCTGTTCGTGGGCACAAAAAGGCTATGTCAGCAAAATTCGAAACTGGGATCGGTGTTTATTGTCTTTAAAATTCCATTTTAACACATTAAACTTCACTGTTTTTAATTTAATTCTAGTATTTACTATTTAATGAAAATAATCCTCTAAAGCAGCATACACTCACAAAGCTACGATATATATAGCAAACAGCATAGCTCCCCTCAAAAAAAATGTAATACTTACCAAAATTGGCAATAGACTGAATCGTAATTTACTCCCTTCAGTCTCTCTTCACTAAAGACGTAATTATAACAAATTCTTTAGAAAAATGTAACGAAATTTAGTAAACTACAGACATCCTCATTTCATTATAATTGAAATCGATGTTATTAACAACAAACAAGACAATCGATCTGACATTTAAATATCGCTTTGGTTTGTATGCAGATACCCTATTTCCGAACAATACAAACAGCTGCAAGTAAAAGCCTTTGCCACGGACTGTTACTACGCTGACGACATAAATGAGACGAACACAGTGACATCTGTGACCACTGCTAGTAGGACTGCAATGCGAATGTAAAGCGGAAGTAAATTTGAAAACAATATCCTTGACCACCTTACTAAACTTTCACCTTTATGCCTGAGCTTTTGATTAATTCTGTCAGTTGATTGTTAGTGTACTAATAATACCACAGAACTATTATCATATAGTTCTACTTCCCACAAATCGGATTATGCAGAGTACCTACCAAAATTTCCCTTATGTGTGTGAACTCTGTTTTGAGGTTAAAAACAACAGTGAATATTATAATAATAAATTCATTAGCTTTAGTTATAGTCTATTTTGCCCCACTTTCGATAATTATGTAATAATCGAAACCTTTGTGTTTGCCCTTGGACATCTTTCCACATTCGTAGTTTTTCTTTTAATCAAATGGTTTAAACTGGATTTAGAAAGAAATAAGGTGTTTTACAAAAGTATTTCAAGCGATATTGCACTAGATGTTGTTATTGTTTTAAGATTATTGCCGCTTTTAATAACTTCAGAATGGCGGGTATTTGAATTCCTGATACAATAGGATTTTGAAACATAACGACTGTTTTGTAGAATGTGAAATTATCAGAAGTAGATAGGGTATATATGATCAAAATATATAGATTTCATAGGATTTTCTGGGGGTGAGATATTTGTTAAGACGATGGAAACCCATATATAGTGTAGTGAAATTCACCGGTTATCACTGTTTCTTTGGGTCTTTGAATGCAAGTGCAGTCTCTGTTAGTGAGGTAATTTCTGTAGTGCTATTGGTGAACCTGGAGGTAAAATAGAAGTTAATCAAGGCCAGTTGTAGTGCCAGGAAGTATTGTCGCTCTTACAGATGGAGAAAGTAGAATCGTTTTCTGTTCTTAAGTTGAATACATGGATCGTTAGACAGTGCGAAGCAATGGGTATGAAACTAAAAGCTATTAATATGGGTAAAGAACTACTTGTTTGTTGAAACAAAATCCTTAGCAATAAATGTACTAAATCATACTCGTCGTGCAAAAACAAAGTTTAAGAGCTTTTTTTTGTATAAATTAGATTTATAATAGAAGTCATTTGTTCTCAACCGGTGTGCCGCGAGCTCTTGCTTGCTTTGAGTAGAAGGATGATCTTTTAATTTAATATGAATGTTAAAAAATCAATAACTTATAAAATTATTATCCATAATTGAGAATATTTCAGTAATTAGTTAAAACATGACAGTAAACTTATATTTGAAATGGCTGTCTTCTTGGTTGTAGGTCCTTTTGCCAGCATCATCAGGGTGATAAGTGATTGCCCCGATGATGGAGGCAGCAAAGATCTCTCAAACGTTGATAAACTAATAAACTACATGGCACTATAACCCAGAAGACAGCCATCTTCAGACTTTCTGCCATGAAAACCTCAAATCAAACATATATTTGAAATTAGTGACAATTGTAGTAGCAGCTGTTGTTGGTGGTGGTGTTAGAACAATGGCTGTGATGGTACTTCACCTCTCACTTGATTGCAGATGTGTTTATATGAACTGTGTTTATTGACAGTCTGCCATGAACAGTAAATATTCCTGTGTATGCAAGGTTCTTTGTCACCCAAGTTTTGTTGAGTGTAGAACCCTTTCTCATCTCATTTCTGGCTCTAGAACCCAGTGTGGGTCCTGGCCACCTCTTTTGGAGGTTACTTGTTCTATTTAGACATTTGGTAGGACTCTTTGGACAAGTGATTACCCGTTGAAAGCAGTTCCCTTTGTTGGAAACAATTTACATTGAAATAATTATTATAAACAGTCTTCTTTGGTGTTTCAGGGCTGAAACAGCCTACTCCCATTCAGACCAATTGCATTCCACACATTCTTTCTGGCGAAGACTGCATAGGATGTGCCAAAACTGGTAGTGGTAAAACATTAGCATTTGCTCTACCAATTCTACAAAAACTGTGTGAAGAGTCATATGGAATATTTGCTCTTGTACTAACGCCCACAAGAGAATTGGCTTTTCAGGTATAATGGAATATAATTATTACATTACTTACCCAGGTTGTACGAGGGTTGCCACAAAATTACTATGTCTGAGTTTTGTTTTGTTTTAATGGTATTTATTTCTGGTTGTTTATATACAAATTTGGACAATTTTACTATCATTATTTGTCCACATTATCATAATTTCTTTCAGTGAACCCTGTCCAATGATGAATAAGAGCATATCTTACCACATGGTAGATGCTGTGTGCCGTGTCTTTAAAAGACCAAACAGATGAATGTCTAAGGGTGTAGCTGTACAGCCCATCCCAACCTTGCACTATTACACCCTGTTGCACATTTTAGATTCTGTTATAGACACATTTTATTTGCATGACATAATATTTGTAGCAATAGCTTTTTAAATAATTTAAAATATGGGATACTATTACTAAATTAATTACATCTTGCCACATAACACAGATCTCAGAGAAAACTAGTTAAGCAAGAGGCAAATGCCCTATCATTACTTTTTAATCATTTAACCTCAGCATTTTCTTTCAGATGTTTCGTTAGGGTCAGTTTTGAACGTAAAGGCATTCTAGCAGTGTTCTTCTTATTACAGATTGCAGACCAGTTTGCTGTAATTGGCAAGGCAATCAATTTGAAACAATGTGTAATTACGGGTGGGATGGATATGGTGTTGCAGGGGCAGGAATTGGCCAGGAGGCCTCATATTGTGGTTGCCACACCTGGAAGGTATTTTATTCTGGGTCTCACTTTGTTAATAATACACACTCTAGTATGAAGTTATTTGTTTGTGTGTTAACATCAGCTTATTTGCAGGTTAGCTGATCACTTGGAAAGTTGCAATACATTTTCACTGAAGAAAATAAAATTTCTTGTCTTGGATGAGGCAGACAGGTTATTAGCAGGAGGAGGTGATTTTGATAAACAGGTTTGTATTCCATAATCATGTCCACTGTCCAAATATTATTGTTTCATGTGTGATATCACATGTTTTTAAACCAGATTTTTCTTTATTGGTTTAATAAAGTGGCTTATTTTTTATGGAGGATATGTGTATATTCCCATTGGCCATTCTTTTATCCACCACCATGAAGGTCCGTAGTGATCTTTATTTGCATTAAGTAGTTTTCAAGCAGTGATACAGATACATCATATGTAAACTGTGTATGATGTATATAATGTTTTAGAAGTTTCCTTTCTCTCCCAACAGTTGAAGGTCATTTTCAGTGCCCTTCCCAAGATAAGACAGAACTTGCTGTTCAGTGCAACAATCACAGATGCACTGGAGAAAGTGAAAGAAGTTGCAAGAAATAAGGTGAGAAAATTAAGTAAGAATATTCTATGCAGCTTATCTCTGGCTTACCCAGTGCCAGTCAAATGGGCACCAAAAAAAATAAAGCCAATCTACTTCTTCGTCACTGTGAGAACCTTAAAGTCTTTGATATATTGCGACTACTTACAGGTTTTCATGTGGGAGGACCCAGCTGATGTGGCAACAGTGAATCAGCTGGAGCAGTTTTATATCTTATGTCCTATGAATGTAAAAGACAGTTATTTGGTTCAGACAGTGCGCATGTTTCGAGAGAAGAAGGAGAAAGGCTCCATCATGATTTTCACAGATACATGCAAGTAAGAAAAACTAATACCATACGCCATTTGATACGGTTTGCGATTTTTATTCAGAAACAGTTTGTTCTTCACGTTGTTTTGTGTTTACCGGTGTTTTAGAGGAACATGCTGCTTACACGTTTAGTGGTTTCCTGAAGATGCTGAATGTATGTTTCTCCAAAATGTTGGTAATAATTGACAAGACTGCGCTGTCACAGCTTATACTACAGCACGTGTTCTGCTGTAAGAACACTGAGCTTTTACTGTGCTTTTTCATGTTAGTCTGTTTAGATACTATTGTTCATCAGTATTTAGAATATACACTCTCTCTGAATTGTGGGTGGTTTTACAGGAACTGTCAGCTTTTGTCCATGACTCTGAATGAGGTTGAGTTTGAGAATGTAGCGCTGCACGCCATGATTCGCCAGAAAGAACGATTGGCAGCATTGGCAAAGTTCAGATCCAATATTATTAGGATTCTCATTGCTACAGATGTTGCCAGTAGAGGTGGGTATCACCACTTTTGTTTTTGTTTTTATTGTTTGTAAAGAGTTAAACTGTTGATTATGAAGTTCTTCTGGGCTGTGACACTGTGTAGGCTCGTACGAAGAATAATAAATTTCACAGGTAACATGTTGTCTCCGTCTTTAGTCCTGAAGATGGAGACATTATATGTCTCTACGTTGGCACTGCCTGAGAGTTCACACTGCATTACAACCCAGAAGAAAGTAGTCATCTTTACTGCCATGAGAACCTCAAAACTCAAAGAGTTAAACTGCTGTTTGTATTCTAAAGCATTTGAAGAATGCACTACATTAGGTATTATAATTATTATAAAATACACGTTCGAAAGAAAGAAGTTATTCTTCATATTTGGGACATTATGACAAGAGGCAGACGTGTGAAATTATAAAACGTACTACCAATAATACTGTGCTGTTTTTCTTTGATGTGTAGGATTGGATATACCAGCTGTGGAATTAGTAGTAAATCACACGATTCCTAATCTTCCCAAAGATTACATTCACCGGGTTGGCCGTACGGCTCGCGCTGGGCGCAGTGGCGTGGCAATATCTCTGGTTACACCTCATGATATCAAGCTTTTACATAGTATTGAGGAAGCCATCAGCACAAAGCTGAAAGAGTATGTGGTAGAAGGTAGGTTCATTAAGATGACAAAGTGAAATTTTGTTACAGTGAACTCCATTTGATCTTTATATAATGTGTGTCAAATTAATTTTGTGAATACTTAATACATTTGTATGTATTACTGTTTCCTTTCTGATGAATCGTCGTACAATTGAAACACAAGTTGTAGTTTCTGTAAGTTAGGAAGGAGAAAAGAAATATTTATTCTTACCTGACTGTTACATAAGAAATCAGGAAATCGTTTACTTGAAAACAGGCACAGGATGCTTAAACATTTAGTACTTATTCAATAATTGTTTTTATTTTACACCCCTACCATGGGACCGAATTTATAACTTATGTTGGGCAAGACCGTGGTCTAGGCAACACGGAGTTTTCCTCCGTGGCATCCCAACAATTACTCCATTCACACACAGAAGAAGGCAATGGCAAACCACTTCTGGTTCATCTGCCAAGAACGTATATGAACAGGTCCCAGTCCGAGAAGAGAAAAGGATGGAAGGATCCTGTTCATATGGACCTGTCGTCAGACAGAACACTAAATAAATAAATAAATAAATAAATAAAATAAAATAAAATACCATGGGACCTGTGAGCGATTTGAAATTAATCATGCAAACTGAATCTTATAATAATTATGTAGGGGTGAAATGAAAGCACTAGAAAACTTTTATATTCATTGTGTGGTCAGACTCTCTGTCTGCCTGCGTCTTCGGTATAAACAGGAATAAGTTAAGTGGCTCGTTCTCAGGGGGATTATTTTGGATAGACTTCTTTGAGTGATTTTTTTTCTGATTTTTCACCAATAATTGTTTCAAAATGGATGGCTTGTCTATTTCTTTATTTAAACTTCATATTTATATTTATTTTGAACTGCATGTAACTGATAAAGTGATATGTACGTATTTCAGATAAAGAGGTAATGAAGATTCTCACCCAAGTGTCAGTAACGAGGAGAGAAGCAGAAATCAAGCTAGATGAAACAAACTTCTATGAGAAGAAGCTCATCAATAAAAGGAAAAATCTCATTCTAGAAGGTAAAGATCCTGATGAATTGGAGGAAGAAGAGAAACTTAAAAGGAAAAGGAAAAGGAAAGCTGAAAAGAAGAGCAAACACTTATCTTGACGAGATCATCATAGCTGCCTGTTACGACTGCCACAATACTGAGCAGGTAAGGGCATTTTTAATGTTTATTTCCGCGTATCAACAAAACTTTGACATGAGGACTAAAAGTTGTATGTTCCATCCAGTAAGAGTACGAAAACTTAAATACAGTCTCATTGTATATTTAATGGAAGGGATAGGCTCTCGGACTTACTCGGTCTCCTGTCCAGTGGGTACCAGGGTAAAGCAGCCAGCTGACCGCGTCTGACTCCGTCTAGTGTCAAGACCAAGAATGTGTGGAACTTTACCTCCACTTCCCCATACATCCATATGGCATGATGCTTAGTTAAACACCAGGGATGACCTGGTTTTGGATAGGGACCAGTGGCAGGCTCTTACGACGTGGTAGTGAATCTTCAGATTCCATAAATGGCAGGGGATTTCTTTACCAACTGAGCAAATATTAACTTTTCAAGAAGAACTCTGCTCCATGGAATTAATGCTTTTATTTGAAAGTGAATACATGTTTCAGTATTATGATTTCTGTACAGCAAATAATATTTGTATGTACTGTTTACAAAATATTATACTGCAATTCTTTGGATTATAAAGTAGACTGTTCTCCATGGTTAAATTATTAGCTCCTATCCAACAGATAGGACGTCTGTATGTTTTTTTAAATATCTTGGATCCAGTTCTGTTTTCCATGGAACAATTTAACTAAGAGATTAACACATAAAACTGGGAAATGTCAGTTCCTAAGGTACACATGCTAAACAACTGAAATTATGTTAAAAGGGTGTATATATAAATGTAAGCAAATACTGCATATTTATATTCACCATGTTTCCAAGTTTATGAATAATTTTTTGAGTTGCATTAGAAACTTTATTTAATTAAAATGTCCATCCAATATTAACAAAGAAAAAATCTTAGATTAACAGACAAATGATTGTTTACAGTAACATATTTGTAGACAAAAATATTTATATTTGGAGGAGTATATTATGCTTATTTTGAAAATTAAAGAGTTGTGCACATTAAAACCAAAATTACACAAAAGTTTCCATGTTCTACTAATAAACTAATATAAGACTGAAGATGATCTGGTAACATCCTTCTCCCCCCCCCCCTTATTATTCTTCTTCAAATGCACAGTTCAATAGAAAAAGTAAAAAACACTAATTGTGATATATTTCACTGTTACACTGTAGTGAAGCTTCTGAAACTTTCTGATTGTACTTATTAGCATGCACAGAAAATTTCAGTGCATTGGATTAATGCATGTCTTACAGTTGCTGTGTCAATTTTAAAATTATCCAGAAATTCTAACAAATTGTTACTGGAGAATAATATTTAAATTTGTCATGGATAGATTTACTGACGTTGGCTGGCACACTGAAATGTTGGTCAAAGTAAAAAATATTTCAAACAAAAGTTCTAGAGAAAAATGGGACATATTTTATGGCTAGTACACACCATATGATCTTCATGATACTTACGAGTTGGCATTTACAAATTGAAAACTAAGAGGCAGTAACAGCGAATGTACCAGAATTATTATACTACACATACATTTCCTAACTTGTTACACATCCATTACAGCTTCAGAGAAAACAGTAAGCAAGAAGAATTTATATACTTCTTGAGATAGATTACCTGGAAAGATACAGTGTAAACCCACAAATCCATGTAACTACATACATACTTACAAACCAAGTGTATCGATTCTTGCTATCAACTGTTGAAGTTACTTTGTGGCTTTCCCCAATATTTCCAAGCAAATTACGTTTAAGTAGGTAAAAACCAACTCGTCCTGAATTTATTGGGGGTCTTCTGAGTTGTGACATTCGGTGATTTCAAAGTAATGTTGGTAATGACCTACAAGACCACAGTCAATATCTGTCTTTCCAAATCCCTACCTGCTCACTGTTCATGATCATCTTCACATCATATTTGATTGTTATATAACTGCTGAATCTGATATTTTAGTGGGTTTGAAAATTAACCCTATTCACTTAAACCGAAACGTTTCTGTCTTGACCCATCTGCTGTTGTAACCTCAAGGTCGTTGTGTCCTGGTGCAAGAGAACGGCATTAAAGCGCCTGGCTCATTTATAATTTTGCTTGAATCTTCTCTGGATAGGTAACTAGTCCTAACCCATCTAGGAAGGCATACAATTCAGCTAGATATTCCTTTGGGTACTTGCGAAAATGGCCTACATGTGGAGACTGGTCCCAGCACTTCACGTACGTCTGCCAACATGACAAAGACAGAATTAAATAAACACATACAAGTAAATGTACTTGTGGAGGCAATGATCCACACATTCTGAAACATAGCAAAAGGTGGATGTGATCTCGGCCACATCAGTAAACTAAGAAAGACTCCCTCGTGTATCATTTGGGGGATGAACAATAGGCCACTAGCAGCCAGAAATCTAAAAATGCAGCTATAGAAATTGTACTTAGCAAAATTCTGAGAAACTCACCTTCAATCCCAACTTCTCCCAGTTCTCGTGAGCCTTCTTGTTGGACTCTTCGGTGCCTATTGGATCTGTTTTTGAGAACAGCATCAAAGCTGGAGACCTAAGAAGAGTTGAGTGAAACCTTTTGCTTGCCACTTCATAGTGAGATGTTGCTGCATCATAGAATGTCTTCATGTGATACCTAATAGTAGAGATTACGGGAAAAAAAAGTCTAATATAGTATGTTTGCTTTATGTAAACCAGTCTGCATAACTTAAGTGAGTAACAGAATCCTTGAGGAATGGGTCATTCAGGTATTGAAGAAATATTGCATTTCTACGGGAACTAAAGGTTCATAGCTCTGCTCTCAGTACCCGACCACTGGGCCCTATCCTGAGCCAAATAATTCAGTCCACGCCTTTGCACAGTATTTAATTAAGACCCATCTTAATATTATTCTTCCGTCTCCTAAGCAGTGTTTTCCCATCAGATTTTCTGACTAAAATTTTGTACACATTACTCATCTCATTACCCTAGTAGTTGTTGGTAAAAAAAAACAAAAACAAAGTTCTTCATAATGCAGTTTTCTCAATAATCCTGATGTTTCCTTTCTCTCGGGCAAACATTTCTCTTTAGCACTCCATTTTTGAACATCCCGAATCTTCATTCCTCCCTCAGATTAAGAGACCAAAATTCACATGAATACTTAACAACAAGCAATTGCATATTTGTTTTAGATAGGAGTCAGGAAGACAAAATATTCTGAACATCCCAGCTGAGCTGTTGGCACGTGTGCTTGTATTTTGGACATCCCAGGTTAAAATCTTGGCCCAGAGACTATTGATCTGACACAGGTTTGTGGTTTTCCTCAGTCCCTCCAAGCAAATCCCAAGATATAGCCTTAAAAAAAATAATCCTGTCATTTAACTTTATACAATGTGAGCTACTGATGTCATTGTTAAATAAACCATAACAAAATATAAAAATAGTAGCAAGCATTCAGATATACAAAATTTAAATAATCATACATAATAGTTTTAACACGACACCTTTACCCAAATAACGTTGACTTCTTCATTCTGTTTATGGAGTAATCCATACATTTGTGCTTCAGAATTACACGTATCAGTGAAAGAACAACTTAGTCTGTTTATTTGCTGCCCAAAATTGAGATATTAGAGTTATGGGTATAATGTACTCAGAAAGTGATACTTAAAATGCAAGACTGTAAACTCTTATTGGATTGCAAAATCTAAATTCGTAACAGAGGGGTTTAATTCTATGGCAGGTATTTAGTGTTTTCATTACTTGCAAAATGTTATTAGCATGTGTTGCAAGTCCCAAAGAGAGAGTTGTAAGGAGGCTGCATTGTATATAGAACCTATGTATAGTCTCTGTGATGTAACTTATTTCCTTTATGACTGATATATCAAAATGCATTACTTACCTAACGTATTTCGCAACAGTAGCCTGAAGGACGGCGTTGTTAGGAAACACAGCTCGAGGGAACCCTACTGGAATCTCAGTTATATCTACTGCACTGTCCCATATATGGCCCACAATGCGATCAATCACTGGCTGGTATCTTTCCAGGTCATGTGCCATCTTGACCATAACTTCTGCCCATAAATACCCTCCCACTGAGAAGCCATGCAGGAGACACTGTTGGTAACACTCATTTGAGTGCAAAAATTTAAGAACGTCTCCTGCAACCACCTGAAAGCAATCTGTCATTAGTACTGAACCACGGGGCCCCTGATCAAAGGGCCCGAGTTGAAGGGAGATTCATGGAGGCACTGAAGAAAACCCCAAAATAGCTTGAGATAGTTTCACTGCCTTTCTCACACTCATATGTTGTGCATTCGTGAAAGCAGTCACAAAGACTGCGTGTAGCACATATAAAGGCTTTTATTGATTAAGCATTTGGGCAGCATAAGTCTTATCAGTATTTGAATTCTGTGTCATAAAATAGTGGATACAGCGGGGAACCTATATGTATCAAAGTTGAACAAATGCCACATGCCTGAATTGGAAATAATTAAGCCCCATTGACTCTCATTTGCCCTCAACTGTTTGCGAATCACATGCATCCTGTAAATATAATTCTGTTTGCAGATGTTCAGACTTGCCGAGTATATAAGAATGACACTTAATACGGTCATTTAGAAAACATGAACCTCAATGTACAAACAAAGTTGTTCAACTACATTTTATCCCAGGATTTCTCATTTTATAGGAAAGACATACTTTCAATATCACCATATACATGTGTTCATATTTCTATGTCCCTC